CAGAAAGACGGGGCGCAGGGGCCCGGACTTCCCGGGCTGAGGGTGGGCTGGGGGTGCCCAGGGAGCACAGAGGCCCTCAGGGGTTGTGCAAACCCACAGCCACCGCCCAGACGCCCTGGGGTGAGCGGGAGTCTGGGCGAGGGAGGCAGAGCTGACCGCCTCAGTCAGAGGGGGAGGCTCTGAGCCAGCCCCGGGGCCAGGAAAGAATTAGCCCAGCCCAGTGACCGGAGCCCCAGCCTGGGAGGAGGTCCTGGTCCTGGGGGGAATGGCCTTTGCGAAAGTGGCAGGAAGGTTAGGTCCCTGACGCTAATGAGCCAGAGGGCGTGAGAGCAGGCGGGTCCCACACAGGGGCCGGGCCTCATTCTAGCTGCAGATGCACCGCGAAGGACTCCAGGGAAGAGGAACATTGTGCCTGAAAATAAAACTAAATTGTGCAAAACCAAATGAAAAGGCAGACTCACCCTCGTGCCTGTGGATCATCTGGCCCAGACAGAACACTGCAAGAGAAGGTCTAGTGAGCAAAACGCCCTGCGCCCGCTTCTCCCGGGGCTGCAATCAGGGGGCCTTCATGGAGGCAGCGGGCTCCGTCTCGGAAAGTTTCCCAACCACCCTCCTCAGCATTGCCTCCGAGCACAACCCTTCTTCCAGGCAGATCCCCAGCCCCCTCTTCCAATCAGGTGCTCAGTCTGCACCTGTCCCCACGCCCAGGGACCTGCTTCTAGGCCCGAACCTTCCGTGGTGAGACTTAGGATGGGGCCAGAGCTGAGGGGACAGAGCCCAGGAGAGACCATGAGTCTCCTGGACTGGAGTCGGGACTGAGCAGGATACAGGCGCCTCCCCAAGCCACCACCCTGCCCGTCCCTGGGATGCGGTCCCTCCATTCATTCCAGGACTCACCGAGGCCCAGCAGGGCGGTGGGACGGGGGCTCATGGCCAGCCTGCAGCCTGCGCCGTCCTGGAGTCAGAGGGGGAAGGACAGAGACTGCAGCTGACACAGGGGACAGGATGTGTTGGTCTGGGCGTTGGGGGCCCTTCAGGAGGTTGCTACCGCAATGCCCTTGCAGAAGGGGAAGAGCTCTCTCCAGGCCTTTCCACAGGGGAGGGACGAAGCTTCCTAAACGATCCCCCCCAGCCCCTCCCATGCTCGGGTGGGGCTGGACTCACCTCGGGGTAAACCCTTGCGTGGGGCCCACTCTAATCTACGGGACGAGGCAGAGCGTGGATTTGTGCAACCAAATGCCTTCAGGGTGAGCTCCAGCTCCATTACGAACCATGTGTCTTGGGCAAGGCCTTACCTAACTCTACGGGGAGATTCCCTCACATTCAAGACGGGAAGCCCGCAGTCTCCCTCCAAGTATGTGACGCTTATGGTAAATTCCCGGCAAGACACTGAGTGCATTAAAAATATCCTGCTGATGCCAGGGCAGCTGGCTCCATGGTTAGAGCAGTGGCCCGTGCATGGAAGGGTCGCGGGTTCGATTCCAGGTCAATGGCAGGAACCTGGGTTGCAGATTCGATCTCAGGTCCCAGTCAGGGTTCATGCAGGAGGCAAGCAGTCGACGTTTCTCTCTCACATCGATCTTTCTCTCTATCTCCCTTCTACTCTCTCTAAAAATCAACAGGAAAAAAATATCCTCCAATGAGGATTAACAAAAAAATAAAAATAAAACCCTGCTAACATGAGTTCTCTTCCCATCCTGCCCCCAGCGGCGCTGGAAACAGGAGAGGGTAGGGTGACCCATCAGCAAATGCAAAATCCTAAAGGGATTGAACGGTCAGGAGACAGGCCTGGGGAGCTGGGCCTGGGCCTGGGGCCACACAGGGCGCCCGCTGGGTGCCGGGAGAAAGGGCAGGACGGGGGTGGGGGAGGTGTCTGTGCCCCTCGCAGCAGCAAGGGCAATTATCTGGCAATATAGACGCCTCACATCAACTTTCCGTACACTTTAAACTCACACAATGTTCTATGTCAATCATCTCAATTTATATAAAAAACATGCGTCTGCATCAGAATACACGGTATATTCCGAAAATACCCCGGCACGGGCACTGCTGCGGAGCAGGGCTCCTCTGGCCTGCCATGGGTTAGCGACCCTCTGGGCCAGACGGGTGCTCCCCAGCTGGCCCCTGCGTTGGTGCAGCCCTGGGTCTGGCTCTCACGCACCCAGCAGCTGCTCACCTCTCAGAGGCCCCTGCTCCGGAGCGCCCCCAGCGTGGCTCAGCCAAGTGAGTGTCTGCGGTCGGGTCCACAGGACAGAACCGGACTCCAGAGTGCCCAGGGGTCTCTGCTTCTCGGTGTTTCTAGGAGGCTCAAATGCAAAGGCCCCCTCCAGTCATACAAATTAGCCCCCTCCTCCGCACTTGGCTCCTGCTGGGAGAACTGGGGTGTCCAGCCCAGGAGGCCCCCCGGGGCCTGGGGTGGACTCACCCACTCCCGTCCCGATCCTCTGCCTCCGATGGAGCCAGGGAGGGGGAAGACCTCAGGACCGCTGGCCCACCGTCTTCTGAAGCTCGGCCCCACCCGGACTTCGCGTCTTCCTGGCTGTTATCCTCGGTGGCCTGGCCTGGACGCGGGTGGCGGGGAACTCAGCTTCCCACGGGCGCCCGCCTGCAGGGCAGGATTTCCCACCGCCCCCCCCTCCTTGTCTGGACTCACAGGGGGCAGGGGCGGTGGGTGGGGGGCACACTCCTCCCCCAGCCCCGGCTGCACTGCAAGCAGCAGGATGTGGTGCGCTGGGCTCCCCACCACAGTTTAAGCAGAAATCACACAAACAGCCTGCGGGCTTCCTTCTACTCGCTTAGGTATCTGATCTTCCCCAGGTTGGGGCTGAGGGAGGGGCCCAGCTCTGCAGCTGCGGCTCAGACAGGTGAGCGCTGACCTGTGACCTAGGAGGTCAGGGTTGGGTCAGGGCACAAGCCCAGGTCACTGGCTCGAACCCCAGCAGGGGGCATGTGCAGGAGGCAGCCGATCAATGACTCATCATTGATGTTCCTCTCTCTCCTTTCCTCTCTCTGAAATCAATAAAGGTATATTTTGGGGAAAAAGAAAAGAAACCCCCTATGAAGTCAACATCCTGCAAGAAAACCAGAAAATTGATAAAAATAGTATTTGTCTCTGTGATGTACCCAATCCTGCTCCAGTACTTCCCCTCCTCAACTAGACAACACCCAAAATCTGTGCCCAGATTTATACTGGTTCTTTGTAAATATAGTGTTACCACATATATATCTGTGTGCATGTATTTTTAAAAATATCTTTTTATTGATTTCAGAGACAGAGGAAGAGAGAGAGAGAAACATCAGTGGTGAGAGTCACTGATCGGCTGCCTCCTGCACGCCCCCGGCTGGGGATGGAGCCCGCAACCCGGGCCTGTGCCCCGACCGGGAACCGAACTGGGACCTCCTGTTCCTAGGTCCACGGCAGCCGGGCTGTGTGCATGTATTTTTAATTCTAACTCGTGTCACTTTAAACTTTAGGACAGAGTGCAGTTTTCAAAGTGATTTTTGAAATCTCCTCAAATACAGAGTATGTGCTAATGTTTGTTTTTGTTATTGAATGTATTGGAGTGACATTGGTTAATAAAATTATACAGGTTTCAGGTGTACAGGTCTGTAACCCATCACCTGTATTGTGTAGCGGGCGCCCACCGCCCGGGGTCACGTCTCCTCCCGTCACCACTTCTCCTGCCCTTTAGCCTTTACGGCCCCTTCCACCGCCTTCCCTCTGGTCACCCTGACCTGTTGTCTGTGTCTATGAGTTTTGGTTTTTTCTAGTTTCTCGATCTGTTGCTTCCGGTTTCACATCCCACATATGAGTGAAATCCTATGGTGCCAATTTTTAAAAACTTTTATTTATATTTTTCAATTACAGCTGGCATACAATATTATATTAGCTTCAGGCAAACAGCACGGCGGTTAGACATTTAGGTCATTTGTCGCGCGCTCCCCTCCGGAGGTCTAGTGCCGCCTGGCACCCGGCCCCATCCATGGTTATCACAGCATCGCTGACGATGCTCCCCGGCTCCGCACGTCCCTGTGGCTGCCCTGTAGCTGCCAGTGTGCACTTCTCAACCCCCCGCACGGTGGCCGGCAGTCGGTCTGTGTCCGTGAGTCGAGAGGGCCGCTTTGAGGCCTCAGCGCCCCTCTGGGGCGCACATGCGTTCCTGCTGCTACAAACCGGGGCGCGTGCGGCCGTCTCCTCCTCCTGGGCGTTTGTTCAGCTTCTGTGGGTACCGCCGACAGCTTCCAAAGTCACGGTCTCAGTTCACCCCCAGGGTTTTCCAATGTCCTGGTTAATTCTCGCCAACCTCGCGAAGCTCCCACTTTTTACTTTAGCTTCGCGGCTGTGGGCAGAGGCATCTTGTGGTTTTATGCGCATCCTTGATGACTAATGCAGCTGGGGACAGTTTTGTACGGTTTGGGTCATTTGGCTATCCTTTTGATTTCTGTGACATGTCTAGTTGGGCCTTTTTCTTATTTCTTCATTCCAGTGGCCTGACCGTCCTTCAGGGAAACAGTGCGGAGCTTCGAGCTCCCTGCTGTGCCTCTGGCTTCTTGCCAGGTGCCTTCACTGTCAGGATCTGCTCGTCCAGTTGAGGTTCCACTCTCTCGATGGTGTATTTTGAAGAAGAGAATTTCCAAGTCTCATTATAGTCCAGTTGATCTATATTTTTATTATATTTTATTTCTTATTGATTTTAGGGAGGAGTGGCCTGGGAATGTAGATGTTTGAGTAAATGAACCGGGAAGTATGTTCAAAAATGCTGATGAAAGTTCCACTCCCAGAAATGTCTGACTGGATGTTTTTAGACTAAACTTCCCGCTGGGGGCGGGGGGGGGAGAGTAGAACATCTGTTTCTAGACTTCAAGAGCTTTCAAGACAGATATAATTTATAGTTTTAAGGTATAAATGGGGAAGGAAACTGAGAAAGAGGAACATACTGTTTGCGGTTAGTTTTACATGGATGGTTTGCTGATTCTGAAAGTAAATATAGCAGATGACAGACCAAAAATCTGAGTGGAACTTTTGGAAGTCTCATTAAGCAAAAATTTCAAATTGGAAGCATCAACCAGAAGGGTCCATCATGGATGAAGTACCCCATAAACACCCCAGGATTTAGGTTGGGTCCCTAAAGAGTCACATACTGGAATAAAAGTTATCTGGGCAGTAGCAAGACCTGTGAAGGGCAGAAACCCATTTTTTGATTTGTTTTTTAAAAAATCTTTAAATTTATTTATTGATTTGAAAGCAAGAAGGGGGGGGCGATTTGGTTTCCACTTATTTATGCATTCATTGGATTGATTGGTTGATTCTTGTATGTGCCCTGACTGGGGACTGAACCCTTTAGTGCATAGTGCTCCAACCAACTGAGCCACACCTGCCAGGGCTTAAGTGAAGATGACTGGTCCCTAATCTATCTGCCCACCAGAAACAAAAGTAAATCTTATCTGGAGAAATATAACCATAGAGAGTGGCAAAGTACCTTTTTAAAAAGTCACACAGTTTGGGGCACATAATAAAAAACAATAAGGCAGTCCTGGCTGACAAATACTGTATAATCTCATTTATATGTGGAATCGAAAACAGCCAAACTCATAGAAACAGGGAGTAGAATGGTGGTTACCAGGGGCTGGGACTGAGGGAACGGGATATACTGTTTAAGGTTACAAAGTTGCAACTAGTAGTTAAATAACTCCTGGAGATCTAACACACAGTACGGTGATTGCAGACGGTGATACTGTGTTATAAGCATTTAACTTGCTAAGAGATTTAATTGTTCCCCCACAAGAAGAAATTGTAATTATGTGACACCACAGAGGTGTTAGCTATGCTGCAATGGCAAGTGTATTACAACATATAAATGTATCAAATCACTATGTGGTACACCTTGCACTTATACAATGTTACATGTCAAATATATCTCAACTTTAAAAAACCTAGCATCTCTCTCCAAAGTACAAGTTCCATTCCATGGCTAAGGCTGATAAATAAATACAATTTGGCAATAAAATAAGTAAAAACTAGCTACTTAGTGTCATTTCTCTGCTCAGAAATATTTGAGGGTTTCCCATCCCAGCTAGATTTGCAGGGCTCCGTGTCTTCTACACCCCTCTTGTTTTACTGTTCTTATTGCAGCTCCTCCAACCCTCCCCCTCTCTGACTGCTCTGATAAACACTGACACCTGTGCCATGCCTTCAACTCATCTGCCTCAGGACCTTTGCACCTGCCGTTCTCTCTGCCTGGCTCACCCCTCCACTCTTCCAGCCTTACTCCAATGTTCCCTTCTTGTTTACCCCTCCCAGACCATCCTACCTAAACCTGCCCAACCCCCTCCAGACTTTAGGTTATCTTTTGCTGTTTTTTTTACCCTCTTTTCAGCTTGTTAACCTTGTTATGTATTTTACTTATGAATATTTTTTACTGTCTGTCTCCCCCTAGAAAGCACAAATTTTTCCCTGCAGTGTTTCCTGCTGTGTTCCCTAACCTAGAAAAGTCCCTGGCACATCATAGGTATTCAATAAATACTTCTGAATGGTGATGACTAAATAGATACATGCAGAATATACGAAATATAAGGGAGCACCTCATGCATTATTATTAAATACAATTCTAGAAACCAGATTTCTCTATTTGAATCCTGGCTCTGCCACTTACAAGCTCCATAACTTAGAACTCTTGTGAATATTCAATGAGTCAATATGTTCAAAGGGCTCAGTCAGAGTCTAACATATAACAAGGGCTCAAACACTGGTGATTAATATGAGTGTTATCATCATTGTTACTGTTGTTACATTTATATGCACAAAACAGCACTATCAGAGAACCAACATTCTTTCAAGAACAAAGTGTTTACAAAAATTAACCACTCATTAATCCACCAAGGAGATCTCAAAATAGTCCATAGATTTCTTCTAAATCAAACCATATTCTCTGACTCCAAAAATGGTATCAGAAATCAAAAATTAAAAGATTGAAAAACATATGTTTTTTCAAAATCCCCCAAATTTCTGCCTAACTTGTGAGTTACAGAGTTAAAAACAAACAAACAAATCAGATGTTATGAAATATTTAGAAGAGAACACAGAGAGAGTGATTCATATCTAAACTTGTTGGATGCACTAAGCATCATACTGAGAGGGGAATTTTTATGGTCTCAGTCTTTTTTTTTTTAAAGAAAATATGAAGTTTGGGGAGCTAATTGCTGAGCATGCAACTTTCAGAGCTAGAAGGGAAAAAAGTGTGTGTGTGTGTGTGTGTGTGTGAGAGAGAGAGAGAGAGAGAGAGAGAGAGAGAGAGTCTAAGGGCAAAAGCATTCACCAAGGTACGTTATCATGACATTTTTCAAAAATGGAGAAAAAAACATTTCCTTGGTGAGAGAAAAAAGACAGTTATATTTAAGTTTCAATAGTCGTCATTACATCAGACTTCTCATCGATAACTATGGAAGTTAGAAG